GGGGGGGGGGAGATCAGTGTTTGTTGAATGACTCAGTGAAGCTTCAATGCAGAGAACACAGTACCTGCGGCTTGGCTGGGGGGCCGGCACTTGTTTGTCTGCAGCGCCTGTGGAAAAATGAGAAAAGGCACTTACAGAGTGGACAACGGGGCTGTGGGCTAGGTGACTTGGCACGTGTAACTCAAGGACCTTCCCCCCAGTTTCTATTTGAGAGGTGACCATTATCCCCATTCTGCAAAAGACATAAAGTCAAAGATATGTAAAATAATTTGGCTCTAGTCTCAAAGCTATTTTTTTTTTTTTAATGAGATTGTGTTACATAGCCCAGGCTAGCCTGGAGCTCATGCATGACTAATAGCTCATTTAATGGGAGGTGGGAAGGGTGTACAGGTCATCTGGGTCCACAGGGCCTGTTAATGTTTACCAGGCCAGCCCAGTGTAATCTGACTACGGCTTATGGAGTGACTGCAGGGACTGTGCTGTAGGCTCTGGGAGAGGCGGACACTGCAGATGCTGACAGTGGAGCCCACTGAAGAAAAGGCTGCATGGCTGTTAATAACCAGACGCCCCACCTGAACAACTCAGACAAACGGCGCTATCCTCAGAGACTTACGTCTGAGATGAACACAGATGCTAAATGACTTTAAACACAATTTATAACTGGCTAATGGCAAGTGTATAAAAAAGACAAAAACACCTGGGAGGAAGAGGCAGGCAGATTTCTGAGTTCGAAGCCAGCCTGGTCCACAGAGTGAGTTCCAGGACAGCCAGGGCTACACAGAGAAACCCTGTCTCGAAAAACCAAAATAAATAAATCAATAAATAAAAATTAAAAAAAAAAAAAGACAAAACAAAGGATGCGAGGCGGACAGTGTGGGGGGCTGTTCCTCCAAAGCTGGGAGGGCTTTGTAAGGTGACCGCTGGGCAGACCGACACCTAAGAGACGAAGCTGGGAGTCAAGAGTCTCCAGGTACAGGGAAGCAAGCCTGCGAAGACAGGAACCTGTGGAGCTGACAGCCAGCTAGCTGCTGTTGTGGCCAGGAGAGGAGGAACTTTGTTGGGGCAAGATTACCCAGGCCATCCAGGAGGGTAATGAGAAGGCTTGGGATCGGAGAAAGAAGGGCAGTGGTGGGGTCGAGGCCGCCAGTGACAGAAACTGGCTTAGCATTGCCACACTAGACAGAATGACACTCAAGAGGCCAGGGGCAGACCGGAGATCCGGTTGTATCACCCAAGCCTCTGAGGATGCGACAGGCTAGATGTTGTCCGGGAGACACTGAATGATGGCTCTGAGGTTCTGATGCAGATCAAGGGACAAAGTGGGCTTGTGCCAAGGGAACAGAAAGGACAGCTGACGGCACCCAGCATGATGCAGAGCTTGGTGCCTCAACTCCAGGGTAACTGTTTATGCCGTTACGCATTCAGTGTGTCTACCTGATACACTGTCCTGTCAGTGTGCTCTCAAATGTCCGATGCGCTGGCTGTGGGTGTGTGGGAGACAAACACCTGGCTTCAGAAAGTCATGAGGACTAGCTGCCATTATGACTACAGAGCAATAGCCGATGTCCCCCACTCCCCCCCCCCAAAAAAAAGACCGGATCAAACTCCACACCCAGGGTGACCCATTTAACTCCCCAAGGTTTGTTTCTTTATATCATAAAGTTAAATCAATTACCCTCCAACAATGGCAAGATAGAACCCAGGCACTTGCCACCAGTCTAACAACTTCGTTTTTGGTCCCCAGGACCCACATGGCAGAAAGAGGAGTGACTTCTAAGCTCCACGTGTGTCCTATGAAATGTGTGTGTGTGTGTGTGCACAGACACACAACATAAAAAGTAATAGGAAATCTAAACCAGGTCACGTTTTAAACCAGGCTTGGTAACACGGGCCTTTAATCCCAGCACTCAGAAGGCAAAGGCAGGCAGATCTCTATGAGTTTAAGACCAGTCTGGTTTATATAGTGAGTTCTAGGGCGGTCAGAGCTACATGGAGAGATCCTGTATCAAAAACAAAATAAAATAAAACTCTAAGTTATATACTTTGCTTATATACTTTACTTTAGACCCGTGATGGGTTGGTTACCTTCCCAGAGGGATTTGAGACACCAAGTTCTGCATCATGCTGGGTGCCATCAGCTATCCTTTCTGCTCCCTTGGCACAACCCCACTTTGTCCCTTGTCCCCTTCTTAGACTTGAAAATGTTTATTGTGGTGGTTGTTGTATGTCTAAGTCATAGGACAATTTTGGGGCATTAACCCTCGGGGAGAACCGTGTCACCATGGGTTCCAGGAATCCAGTGAGGCTGCAGGTTTGTGTAGGAATTGCTGAGCCAACTCACTGATCTGGAAATAGAACTAGACATCATAGGGGCTTTATGGTAGATACATGATTTCTTTCCAACAGTGTACTGTGAATAAAACACTTGGATGTATCTGTAAACGGCTGTAATGGCCTATAACAATATGGCGATGTCTACTGGGACAAAGCAACAGGTCCTATCATGTGACTGTGGCTTGTTGCTGACATGCCTGAGAGAAAGAGGTGTTATATTTCAATGAGGGGTTAATCAAAGTACAGACGCAGTATTATTTTTTTCCTACTCTAAATTATAGGGGCTGTTGGATTCTCTAACCATGATTAAGAATCCTTACACTGGCAGGTTTCGGATTCATTCCCAGATTGCTACGGAATCTCTCGGTTTGGTATATTCCCTGGTGACCTCAGTCTGAGGGCGGAGAAAGACGGGATTCTGAGACTACTGGAAGGAGGTGCATCTTGGTCATCTCAGACCCGTGATGGGTTGGTTACCTTCCCAGAGGGAGGACATAGGACGTATGGAGGAAAACGCAGTCAGGAGGCATTTAGCTGCTTCCACGAGAATAAAGCAATCACCCTCTGCCCTAGGTGTGAGTGTGATCCCCAACCGATCTCAGAACCTCCCCGAAGAAAGCTCCTCCAAAACGTCAAGACGCCATGGCTCGCATCCCACCACGCATCCGTTTCAGGCCCCAGGGGAGGAGTCCCGGCCCTCGGACAGGCCCCCTACCGGCATCGGGTTTCTCCGCTTCCCGCGGGCGCTGTTCCTGGCCCCAGGCGGGCGTCGCCGCCTCGCGACACCGTGCCAGCTCCTCCGCATCGCTGCTGCCACTGCTGCTGCTCTCCGAATCGCTCATAGCTCCACTGGGTGCCACCATATTGGGATGCCGCAAAGGGTTGTGGAGGAAACAATCGCGTTTGATTTGACCTCCCCGCCCACATGACCCACGTGTCAGAGCATCATGGGAATTGTAGTTCCCAGGCCACCAATGGTGGCGAACGGGCCAGAAAGATGAGCTCCAGAAGGTTCCAGGAGACCACCACTTTCTCCAGTCTTTTTTTTTTTCTTCCTTTCTTTTGTCTTTTCCTCCCCTTTCCTCTCCTCTCCTCCCCTCCTTTCTGATCCCTCTCCACTTTTTCTCTTTTTTTCCTTTTTTTGTTTACACAGGGAACGGTAAAACACTAAAGACAAACAGGATAAGCTCTCTTTTTATTTTTGAAGGAAAAATGAATTCCTTTGCGATTTGATGAAATCTGGAAGGCAACTAACTACCTTTTTTAGTTCAGGTTTCGATCTTAGGAAGATTGTTAAACTGTAGGCTTTGAGGGTCTGACAGACAAACGGAACAAACAAATCAGATGGCAATGACTCTTGGAATAGCCGAGGCCTTAGCAATTAGTTAGAGCATAGTCGCATAGTCCATAAAACACCTGCAGACTAGCACGCGAGAAGGTTTTTAAAACGCAGAATCTGGTTTCTAAACTCCTCCGGTGACTTGTACATAAAGCAAGTCTTAAGGCAGGTCAGATGAACAGTCTGGGAAATCCTGCAATTTTGTGGTCCCCAGCATCTTATATTGTGGGGAACTGAATAGGAGAATCAGGAAACATACGGCATTAGTAAAGGTTTCTGAATGTACAAACAGCAAAACTGATGTCCAAACCCCAGCCTGCGGCGAAGCTGTGTTGTTTCTGGCGCTTGGGTAACTTTTACTGCGGCATTGAACACACGATGAGCATGTGTAGCAGGATAGTTTCCTGCTGCCGCTACATTGTATGCGTTAGAGCTGATGTGGGAGGAGCGAAGAGGAGAAGATGGCTGAGGATGTGCGCGTGTCTCTAGCAGTCTAAGGTAGTTGTAATATCTAGGTTAGGTATTGGGTAACAACGCTAATTGTATGGGCATCTTGTTAATCGAACATTTCCAAATGTATTAAGCCTTTGGATCATAATAAAGCTTTAGAGTCTCATTTCTACCGGGTACCGCGTCGACGGCTGGATATTAGCTGGGGTTCAGCCAAGCTTTGTGGAGACAGCATGGGAGATTGGTAAAGCCATCTCCCACGCTGGCGTCTCATGAGTGCCAGGGCAGGTGCTTCTGGCTGGCCTGAGCCTAGGTAAGAGCAGAGCAGCGGTGAGAGCATGCCGCTGCTCTTGGCCTCAGGCCTTGTCTAGTCACAACAAGCCAGATTGGGCCATGTGGTTTAAAATATTACCCTCAACAGGCATGCTCTACCTGTTCACACATCTTCACACCACATAACGCCAGTGAACACTGAAACCGGGCTCAGCTTTGAACCGGATGCATGGCAAAGGCAGTGTTCCTAGCATACACACAAAATTTTCTGCTTTTAGGAAACACGACCGTTAAGTTGCAGAAAATAAGGATTTTTTTATGTTATTAAAGGAACACAAATCAGATTAATATGTCTTTTGATTGTTTTCTATTAGATCATCCAAGTGTAAAAGATGCCGTTTGAGTTGTTTGAGTTTCGTTACAAAAGTGATTGACTTTCGGCCTGTGTTTAAGACAATGTTTCCAACAACTTCTGAAAGCAGACACACCCAGGGTTTATTTCCAACTCTGAAGTGGCCCGACCCGTGTGTCTGCTGTTTTGTACAATATTGGTGACAAGAAGCACTGTCAGCATTGCTGACTATAGAACCAACATATTGACCCACTCTGAAAACATCGAAAGAGTTCTGTCTCCCCCGGTATCAAATATTTAGGCAAGATTTATGCAAAAGTAAGCAAATACCCCTATCTCGTTAACATGTAAAATTGCTTCTGTCTTTTTTCATGTGTGCTCACGTATGCATGCTTATGTGTACAGAGATGAATGTGCACAAGGGTGAGCATGTGTGAGCAGGTTTGTGGGTTCAGGAAATGGACCTCAGATTCTTGCAAAGATCCTTGCAATAAACATTTTATTGAAGGAGTGATAATCCCTGCCCCTACCCTTTTGTTTCAAAACAGACTTTCTCTGTGAGGCTCTGGCTGTCCTGGAACTTGCTCTGTAGACCAGGCTGACCTCAAACTCAGAGATCTGCCTACTTAAAGGCAAGAGCCACCACACCCGGTTCCCCCATGTTCTTCTGAGACCAGTGCACATATCCCTGGCCAGCCTGGAACTTGCTATGTAGACAATCTGGCTTTGAACTTATGTTGCCTGACTTGTTTCTGCTTCCCTCATACCAGGAGTTCAACTGCTTGCTTTAGCCTTTAATGATGGCAGAGCTGGGCTGGTGAGATGGCTCAGTGGTTAAGAGCACTGACTGCTCTTCCAAATGGTCCTGAGTTCAATTCCCAACAATCACATGGTGGCTCACAACCATCTGTAATGGGATCCAATGCCCTCTTCTAGTGTGTCTGAAGACAGCAATGGTGTGCTCATATACATAAAATAAATTAGCAAATCTTTTTAAAAAAATTATGGCAAAGCTATATGCATACCAAATAGCTTTTTTGTTTGTTTCTTTTGTTTTGCGAGACAGGGTTTCTCTGTATAGCCCTGGCTGTCCTGGAACTATCCCTGTAGACCAGGCTGGCCTCCAACTCAAAGATTTGTCTGCCTCTGCCTCTTGAGTGCTGGGATTAAAGGCATGTGCCACCACCACCCGGCTACCAAATAGCTTTTAAAAAATTGTATTACATTTATTTATTTGTGTGTGGAAGAGAAAGTGCAAGTGTGGAGGTCAGAAGACAGCTTGAGAGGGTCAGATCTGCACTTTTACTCTGAGGTTCCTGAGGATCAGTTTACCAGGCTTGGCAGTAAATACCTCCTGAGCCATCTTACTGGCTTTAAATAATTGTTTTAAAATGTTTATGATTTCCTTTAAGTGTCTGATATGCTTGCTTATTTTACATATGTATGTGCTTGCTTTCGATGAAAACATCTCTTGAGAGAAAGCAGTCAGGTGTGGAAAAAGTTTTAAGAGGGACCAGAGAGATGGCTCAGCAGTTAAGAGCACTCACTGCTATTGTAGAAATAGAACCCGGGTTCTGTTCCTAGAACTCACATGGTGGCTCACAACCATCTGTAACTCCTATTCTAGGGAATCTAATAGTGACCTCTGAGAGCACCAGGCACGTGTGTACACATACATACAAGCAGGCAAAGCACTCAAACATATCCAGTAAAATAAATAAGTTTTTAAACAATTTTATTTGGTTGATTTTTCAAGACAAGGTTTCTCTGTATAGCCCTGGCTGTCCTGGAACTATCCCTGTAGACCAGGCTGGCCTCCAACTCAAAGATTTGTCTGCCTCTGCCTCTTGAGTGCTGGGATTAAAAGGCTTATGCTGCCTCTGCCCAGCTAGTAAGATTTAAAAAAAAAAAAAAAGACTGCTATGACAGAATGTTTGAATCTTCTGCAAATCCCTTTGCTGAATTCCTACCTCCCACGCCTGTGGCATTAAGAGATGGAACCTTTGGAGATGATTGACAGGAACAGAGCCTTTATCCCTGCCGTCAGTATGCTCGAAGATCTGCCTTTCCTTCTACCACATGAGGATCAAGTGAGAATCTGCCATCAAACCAGCAAGATGCCCTCACCAGTGCCAATGGTCTACAACTTCTCAGTGAGAAACAAATGCTCGTTATTCATAAGTCATTGAATTTGTGGTGTTTTACTATGTAAGGATGAATGGACCAAGGTGGTGACTTATTCATCTGATCAATTTAAGATAGGGTCTCAGGTAGCTCGGATGGCCTCCAACCTGCTATGCAGCCAAAGATGACTGAACTCCCAATGTTTCTGCCTCTGTGCTGGGATTCCAGGCAAGAGCCACCACACCTGGAAGTGCTGGGGATTGAACTGGGGGCTTCCTAGGAGCCGGGCTGAGTTCTGCCTGATCTGCCTCAGCCCTCTTCACTCCCATTTTAAAACACCTACAATGGGGGCTGTATTATGAAATATATAAAGATCTGGATTGAACTAGACTGTTCACCCTCTGGAAAAGGGATACTTTTCAGTCCCTGGATGCAAAAGAGTTGGGAGATATATAGAACAGTATTGCTAAATTGCCTAGCGGTTTTTGAAAACCAGCTATAAAGCAGACTTGAAGCTATGGTAAGTCGACCAGAAAACAGGTCAAAAGGAAGATTTGACATAAACCCAATCACAGTATCCTTTGGCAATAAGAATCTGGTTTGTTGTTGTTTTGTCTCCAGACAATTATTTACTGTTTGTGTGTAGCTTTTTAGGAGTTATGAACAGAAAACTTTGTATGTAGCCTTGGCTGGTCTAGAACTCACTGTGTAGACCAGGCTGGCCTCCAACTCACAGAGATCTACCTGCCTCTGTTTCTCAAGTGCTGAGATTAAAGGTGTGATACCATGCCCAGAAAGACCTTTTATTTGTTTGGTTTGGTTTGGTTTTTTGAGACAGGGTTTCTCTGTGTAGCCCAGGCTGTCCTGGAACTCACTCTGTAGACCAGGCTGGCTTTGAACTCAGAAATCCGCCTGCCTCTGCCTCCCAAGTGCTGGGATTAAAGGCGTGCACCACCATCAGCCCAGAAAGAACTTTTAAATACTGTCTCATCTTCAATCTCCCTCTCCCAGACTTTGTCTCCTTTTGACTCAGTTTCCCTGCGCCCATCAACCCCCAGAGTTGAGAGTCATCTGTAGCGGAGAATAAAGATCACTCATCTTGGAAGAAACAAAGGTTGTTTATTCTCCATTTGAAAGGAACTTGATACCCTACCTTGCCTTGAATAGTTGGAGGCAGGCAGAAGTGGTTGGGACACAGATCCCCCCTGAAGGAGGTTGCTGGTGTGGAAAATTTGGAGGTGGGACAACCTGAGACAGGATCCGTGTGATTGGTTAGGAAGATTGTTTGGCTTCTTCTGAACAAGCGAGAATAGTTTGCAGCCGTTCACTGACCCAGTCTTGACAGCGTAGTCATGAGGATGGCAGAGATCCTGGTATGACTTCTCAGGTGACTGCAGAATTCCATTGTCTGGCTAGTGTCCGGCTGTACACGATTTCTCACGTCCCTTCTGGCTCCTTGCTGGCAGAGTTACTTGTGCCAGGCAGTGGTGACGCACTCTGGCCAAGGACCGGAAGGAGGGGAAGACTCAGACCATCCCGACAGAGGACTGGAAGGAGCGGCGACTAGGCTGAATCTAGAAGGAGATAGCAATAAAGGCAGAGCCATTGACAGAGGAAGCTAGCTGGGTGCAAATGGAGCTGTCACCTCCCTCTTCTTGGACAGGATGATCGTGACACTGTCTTGGATGCCATAGGATTTAAAGTCAAACCAGTCTTCCAGGACGTGGCCCTGGAACTCCAGCTGCTGCTCCTGGCTCCGAAGGCCCTGCCTGTCTTCGATCTGCTGCTTCAGGCTCAGGACGAAGTCAAGTGGGTGGATCGCATAGGCATGACTCCCACCATCTGGGTTTTTCACGAAGACCTGGATTTCGGGGGAGATGGTGTCCAGCAGGCAGATGTCAGTGTCGGAGAAGATTCCGTAATAGGCAAGCGAGCACTGGCTTCTGATGAGCTGCCGTTGGCCTCCGGGCTCCTGAAAGGATAGACGCTGCAGGCCGGAGTAGCCCCTCCTCAGTCGGATTTTCTCTTTCAGTCTCTTTATGGGTTCGTAAGGGTTCACCCAGAGGATTAAATCGGAGTGACCCCACTGCTGCACGGTCACCTGGATATCGGGCGCTCTCTGCAAGAGAGGGAGGCGGGGTTAGGTTCACATTTCTGTCCGGTGACCCACAAACTCCTTTCCCAGATTCATCTTTGTAATAACAAAAACCAGCTTCCTCCCCCTTCCCCCACCCCCGTCCCTCCACGCACCCACACCACCGCCAGTCACTTTATAGGCACCTCCCATGAATACATTTTCAGCCCCATGAGGTTGGCTCTCCTCCCATTTGGTAGAAACAAGCGATGGTACCCGCCACACTGAGTGTTCACTACGTGCCAAAAGGGATGTAGGACGCAGCACAGTTTTGAAGGACTCTAAAGCTAGGGTTGTAAAGTTTTAAAGAAAAATCGCCGGGCGGTGGTGGCGCACGCCTTTAATCCCAGCACTTGGGAGGCAGAGGCAGGCGGATTTCTGAGTTCCAGGCCAGCCTGGTCTACAGAGTGAGTTCCAGGACAGCCAGGGCTACACAGAGAAACCCTGTCTCGAAAAAAACAAAACAAACAAACAACAACAAAAAAAATCCTCCAGCCCAGCATAAGAGTCATTTCCGGTGAACAGAACAGGGGAATTATGAATTTGAGAGTATCCTGGGCCACACAGAGAGGCCTTGCTGAGTCATAGGCTGGGTGTTCACAAACAAACAAACCCCAAGATATACTTTGCTCCCTATCTCTTGACTTTATTTGACTAGAAAGTGGTGTCCAGACTTCTTATCTCCGAAAAGCTGTTCTCCACCGGGTGAGCCAACACTTTGCCAGTGTAGTGTTCGGTGTCAGGCTGGAAGGAACCATTACCTTCACAGTCCAGCTGGGGACTGGGGTGTCCCTGTTGTCATAGCAACAGTCCTGTTTCAGACACTGGTTGGCCCGCTGAGCGACTATATCCCATCTGTAGCCTTCTGCCACATTGTGGGTGGGGTCTGCCGGATCCAGGATGATGGGCCTGTAACACAGAGAGATGATGCTTCCGGGTCGGAAGCCATAGGCTAGGGAGATGCTTCCCAGCCTCCATTCTTTCCAGCGACTGAGCTGTCCATCAAGGAGGGCCTTGACTGGATATCCCTGGAGATCGAGGGCGTGCGTGGGGATGATGAGATTTCTCATCTCCTTGAGGAACCCGCTCGGGAAGTGCAGAGAATCGGAGGGGTGGGTCGGAGGACACTGTACGCTGGGTCCTGGAACAGTAATGGATGTTCGCTTGGCGGGGGAGGCATCGCAAGGCATGGCAGCCTGCAAATGTCTGAGGGCAAATTCGCTGAGTGGCCTTCTACCAATCAGTGACACCACCAACATCCACGGACTGCTTTCTGGGTAGGAACCCAACCCAGAGCCTGCATCAATCCTCCCAGCAATAGTTCTATACGGGATTATTATGGTTATACCTGTTGTAGAGGTGAAGGAACAGAGGCATAGACTTTAAGTTCTCGTTCTCTCTCTGCCTCTCTCCCTCTCTCCCTCTCTCCCTCTCTCCCTCTCTCCCTCCAGGGTTTCTCTGTATAGCCCTGGCTGTCCTGGAACTCACTCTGTAGACCAGGCTGTCCTGGAACTCAGAAATCCGCCTGCCTCTGCCTCCCGAGTGCTGGGATTAAAGGCGTGTGAAGGATTAAATGAAAACCTCTCAGCTGACCTCAAATTCTCACAGTTGGTAGAGAAGGTTCTCAGCTGTTCTAATTTTACTGTCTCAACAGGGCAGAGAGCTCTGGCTGCCTCTAACAGTCTCTCTAGCATGCCAACACTGAATGACTGACTCTTCATTACTGGCTCATGTGGACTCTGCTTGGGCCCCTTAGGAGACTGCCTGAAGTGAACCCCGCATCCCGTAAGTAACTGTGCGTTCCTTAAGTTTGGGGCTTTGTCTCTGTGATAGAGCAGGAAAGCAGGCTACTGGGGTGAACTGGACACCTTGAGCTCTATGTGCCAATCCCCCCAGCTATCTGATGAGGGTGTTCAGGGAGCAGCCGGTGCTGTCCCCGGGGGTGGGGCTCATTCTTTTCAGCTGATCCAGCAGGCACTCCACTGTGCGGATGATGGTGACCCCTAACTAGCTGGGGAGAAATGGGGAGCAGAGCAGGCTGGGAAAGAGGAGCAGGGCAGGCTGGGAAAGAGGAGCAGAGGAAGGGGGACAGGAACAAGAGGGAAGCTGAGATTCTAGGTCTGCCTAAGATCCAGAAGTGACTTTCTAAGAATAAGTCCTTCATCAGAGCAGAAGGAGTCTCAGTTGAGGAAATGCCTCCATGAGATCCAGCTGTAAAGCATCTTCTCAATTAGTGATGGGGAGGGCCCCACCCATTGTGGGTGGAGCCAACCCACTATGGGTGGAGTCATCCCTGGGCTGGTGGTCTTGGGGTCTATAAGAAAGCAAGCTGAGCAAGCCATGGGGAGCAAGCCAGTAAGCAGCACCCTCCATGGCCTATGCATCAGCTCCTGCCTCCAGGTTCCTGCCCTGTTTGACTTCCTGTCCTGACTTCCTTCATTGATGAACAGAGATGTGGAAGTATAAGCTGAATTAACCCTTTCCTCCCCAAGTTCCTTTTTGGTCATGGTATTTTGTCAAAGCAATAGAAACCCTAACTAAGACAACATGAAAAATTTTTTGACCCTCAACCATCTACATTGTAGGTACCAGTTTACTCTGGGTTTGGTAATTTAAAAATTACATCTAATATGGGCCGGAGAGATGGCTCAGTGGTTAAGAGCACTGACTGCTCTTCCAGAGGTCTTGAGTTCAATTCCCAGCAACCACGTGGTGGCTCACAACCATCTGTAATGGGATCCGACGCCCTCTTCTGGTGTGTCTGAAGACAGCAGCAGTGTATTCATATACATAAAATAAAAATCGCCGGGCGGTGGTGGCGCACGCCTTTAATCCCAGCACTTGGGAGGCAGAGCCAGGCGGATTTCTGAGTTCGAGAGTTTGAGGATAGTCTGGTCTACAGAGTGAGTTCCAGGACAGCCAGGGCTACACAGAGAAACCCTGTCTCGAAAATAAATAAATAAATAAATAAATAAATAAATAAATAAATAAAAATAAATCTAAAAAAATTACATCTAATGTGTATGCGCACACGGGTATGTGTGCGAGTGCATGTGCGCGTGCACACACATGCAGCGCGAGTATACATGCACAGGAAAGCCAAGAGTTGAGGTGTCTTCAATGATTTTTCTACCTTATATTTGGAGACAGGGTCTCCCACTGAACTTGGTGCTTGAAGATCTGGCCACACTGGTTGGCCAGCAAGCTCCAGGGACCTCCCTCTTTCCGCTTCCCCGAGCTGGGATTACAGGTGAGCAGCCCACCCGGTGGTTTTTAGACGTGCGCAGGGCACTGGAAAGCTAACTGCAGGGTAAGCAGTTTCCTGATGAAGCACTCTCCCATCTCTTTGGTTCTTTGCCTTTCACTATGTTTTCCCGGCTGTGTGCTTCTCCAGCTTCTGCATTCTCCTGCACCGGCGTTGTGGGCACACCCCAACTGTACCTTGCGTGACAGTGACGACAGGCTACTACCTGTCTACCCCTGTACCTATGCTGGGATCAGACCTAGTCCGTGCGTATGCTCGGCAGGTGCTCTGGACTCAGCCTTTGTGCTTTCTTGTGGCTTTTTAGGAAAAGCACCGAAACAGCTTAGAGAAACATAGGGTGGAAGCCTAGCTTTGAGGAACAAGAAACAGACTCATGTCCCCTACGACCCTCCGGAAATCTGATGTCTGTCGAATCAAGATCTCAATGTCAATGTCTGAGGTAGTCTTGGTGCACATTTAATAAAGTAGTAAGATTCCACATTTCCCCTAGTCTCTCTCTCTTTCTCTCTCTCTTTCTGTCTCTCTGTCTGTCTCTCTCCCTCTCTCTCCCCTCTGTCTGTCTCTCTCTGTTTCTCTATCTCTTTCTCTGTCTCTCTGTCTCCCTGTCTGTCTCTCTGTGTCTCTCTCTTTCTCTGTGTGTGTCTCTCTGTCTCTGTCTGTCTCTATCTCTCTCTGTGTGTCTCTGTCTCTGTTTCTCTGTCTCTCTCTGTCTCCGTTTCTCTCTTTGTATCTCTCTGCCTCTCTCTGTGTCTGCCTCTGTGTGTTTCTGTCTCCCTCTGTGTCTCTGTGTCTCTGTGTGTCTCTGTCTCTCTCTGAGACTCGGTGGGGAGCACGGACCCAGTACCTTTCTCCTTTGAGCTGTCCCCTGACAAAGGCCTTGATGACTGGGTGCTGCAGCGTGTAGTACTTGGTCCAGTAGATGCAGATCAGCTCATGATCTTGAATCAACTCCATCACCGTGGCTAGGCCTTCATCCAGCCTGAAGTTTGCATCCTCCTGGGTGCCTGCTTCCCATGCGTAGACAGTTAGCAGCTCCAGGGCATAGAGCGGGGGCAGGTTGGCCCGGGGACACTTGTCTCTCACATACTGAAGAGAGTGAGAAAAAGATAGAGAGGGATGCCATGATCAAGTGTGAAGATGACACCCAGGTCCAGGGGCAGAAAATTAAAGTCTAACCTACAAGCTGTGTGACCTTGGCAAAGATACTTTCCTTTCCTGGGCCTTGGTTTCCCCAAGGAAATTTTAGGATTAAGTGTCTACCTTAGCCCAGAAGACATCAAATTGTGTCTGAATTCAAATTTAGGGGAATGTAATTTATTTTTTGAATCCTCTACTCCCTCCCTCCTCCTCCTTCTCTTCCTTCTCTCTCTCCTTCTCCCTCTCTCCCCCCCCCTCATGTCATGCCATGATGTGGTGCAGATGTGGAGGTCAGAGTTCATAGGTTAATGCTTCCCTTCATAAGGTTAGTTCCTGGGATCAGATTAAACTGTGTGGCAAGCACCTTTGAGTCACTGAGACCTCTCACCAGATAGATTTAATTACTCTTTTGTATGTGCGTATAAGTATGTAACACTATGTATGCATGGGGGTGGAGATATATCCTCAGTCGCTGTCACATTTTGAGACTGGCTCTCTCTCTCTCTCTCTCTCTCTCTCTCTCTCTCAAAAAGATTTTATTTATTTATTTATTTATTTTATGTATATGAGTATACAATGTAGCTGTCTTCAGACACACCGGAAGAGGGCATCAGATCCCATTACAGATGGTTGTGAGCCACCATGCGGTTGTTGGGAATTGAACTCAGGACCTCTGGAAGAACAGCCAGTGCTCCTAACCACTGACTGTATCATCTTGCCAGCCTGAGACTGGCTCTATTACTGAACTGGATTTCTCTCACTGGCTAGACCAAGCTGGCCAGCAAGCCCCAGTGGTCCTCCTGTCTCAGCCTCCCCTGTGCTGTGTGACAGCAGGTATGGCACTGTGCTCAGCTTTTTACCTGGGTGCTGGGGACCTGGGCTCAGGTTGTTACATTTGTGTCTCAAGCATGTTACTAACTGAGCCACTTGCCCAGCCTCGCTGTTTATTTTTGACCTATATTTAAAAATCTCAAACCACTGTTTCTAGCTTGTGCTGGGCAGTTTTATGTCAACTTGACACGAGCTAAAGTCATTTGAGAGGAGGAAACCTCCTTAGAAAATTAAGAAAATACCTCAGGAGCCATAATGGGACAAGCTAGTAACTAGCAGGTGATCATCCTGAAATGGCTTGCCTTGGATTATTATATACTCTGCGACAAGTGAGTCCTTATTGAGCAAGGCTGTGAGGAACTTATTTTAAGAAAAGATTTCTGCTATTAATATGCTTTTCCTATTATTATTAAACATATGTAACAATCACTAAGCAATAGCACACCCCTTTGGAGCAGATCTCTGCAGATCCACGAAGATGTGCTGTCTTGTGGTGTTGCTATATAGACAAATAGATGACTTCTTAAGTCTTTTTTTGTTTTTGTTTTTCGAGACAGGGTTTCTCTGTGTAGCCCTGGCTATCCTGGAACTCACTCTGTAGACCAGGCTGGCCTCGAACTCAGAAATCCGCCTGCCTCTGCCTCCCAAGTGCTGAGATTAAAGGCATGCACTACCACCGCCCGGCTGACTTCTTAAGTCATAATGATGATCCTATAAGAATTCCTTAAATTTTATCAGTGATTATTAAGCTCTTTTATAGTGGGACTGCTATTAAGTCCTTTTCTGATAGTCAAAACTGCAGTGAGAACTCTGCCAGTCTCCCAAGTGTCACCGGTTAATTGCTCTTAGTAACCAGACTTTCTCCTACTCAGAGCACATTCCAAGAGGTTGTAAAACAATTAACCAAAGGTCACTAAAAGGGAACTAACAATTTATTATAGGTGCTAGGACAGAAGAGAAAATACTGCCTGGGTTTATCTACACAAAACTTCACTAATTTATTAGTTGTAATTTTAAACCTTCAGTGACCCTGTGGAGCTAGACAGGGGATGGATGTTTAGCCAGATAATTACTCCTAATGGATATGCATGTGAACATTCTCTGTTGTAAACTTCTGTTTCAATTTATGATTTGATTTTTGGTGTGAACTTGTGATGAACTTTGTAACATGTGATCACGTACTCTGAAAGATGCATAAGTACTGAAGACAAAGACAGAGAGAGGGTCGTTCGTCCCTTCCTTTCCTTTTCCCCTGCCTAGAATTTTTTCCCTTAGAATTTTTCCCCTTATTAGATTTTTTTTTCCTTTTCCCCACTTAGGACCTTTCCGCTTTTCCCCTTAGATAACTTTCATAGGAAACTTTTTACACTTAGTAATAAACTCTATAATCACTTCTCTAAGTGTCTTTTCTTCCTGCGACCTCAGACTAGCAGGCATAAGTTAGAGCCCAGCAGTTCCTGCTGAGATAGAACAAAGGCCACATTGCCTAATCCTCTGCTGTTTGGCTACAGGTGTTAATCCCCTAAACCTGCAATCTTTTACCCACAGAAGAAGTTTTTAGGACTTTTTAAAGTTATCATCAGCATTTCAGTACAGGTCAGAGAACCAGAAAGCCCTGAGACCTTCAGACTTTAAAGCCATCACCAGAGTCCTACTCTGTGCCCCTGCCACTACCCTCTCAGGGCACTCCGTAGGGTCAGACTGTAGGGAATCTTCTTAGGGCCCCGCCCATTGTGGGTGGGGCCAACCCACCATGGATGGAGCCATCCCTGGGCTGGTGGTCCTGGGTTCTATAAGAAAGGAGGCTGAGCAAGCCATGGGGAGCAAGCCAGTAAGCAGCACCCCTCCATGGACTCTGCGTCAGCTCCTGCCTCCAGGTTCCTATCTTGCTTGACTTCCTGTCCTGACTTCTTTCAGTGATGGACTAGGATGTGGAAGTGTAAGCCGAATTAACCCTTTCCTCCCTAACTTGCTTTTGGTCATGGTGTTTCATTATGGCAATTTTAACCCAATCAAGACGTAGCTCTTTTTAATTTTTTTCAAGGCCAGGCCTGATTATGAAGCCCAGGCTCAAGTGTGTGTAGTGGAGGGGGTGGGGACGAACGGAGCTTACAGATGAGTATTCCACCCGACAGCTAATATCTATAAAAGAGTAGATTGATTATAATATAATCCGTGCTCGGGGGATCTCTATTTCCTCACTCCGGTATTAGCGAATTTATGAAGTGTAACTGGCGATGAATATTCACAGGCAAATGTGGACAGCGTCATCCAAGGGGAGTGAGGTAGAATTCTTTTTTAAAAAAAATTTTGTATTTTATTTTATTTTTGTTTTTTTTCGAGACAGGGTTTCTCTGTACAGCCCTGGCTGTCCTGGAACTCACTCTGTAGACCAGGCTGGCCTTGAACTCAGAAATCTGCCTGCCTCTGCCTCCCAAGTGCTGGGATTAAAGGCGTGTGCCACCACCGCCCGGCTGTAGAATTCTACCAGACTCCTTACATTTTTTTTAACTTTATTTTTAGTCATGTATGTGTATGTACGCATGTATGTGTATGAGCATGAGTGTACGGATGCTCACGGAAGCCAGAGGCACTGGATCCTCTGGAGCTGGAAGTTATAGGCAGTTTCAAGCTGCCTGCTGTGGGTTCTGGGAACGGAACTCGGGTCCCCTGCTAGCGTAGTACTTGTTCTTAACTGCTGAATCGTCTTTAGGTCTGCTTTACTTGTCTTTGAGGGGAGTCTCACTGTGTAGCCTAGGTTAGCCAGGAGCTCACTGTGTAGTCCGGCTGATCTCCTTCAGTCTCCCAAGTGCTGGGGTTACAGTGCGTTCCATCGCAGCTTACCTGTCTCTTAGTGTATCTGCTTATTTTACAAGGAGACTATCCTCTCACCATGAGAGCGAGCATGCATGCGTGCGTGCGTGCGTGCGTGGCGCGTGCATGCGTGGTGCGTGCAGTAGGGCTATTTCTGATGCGCCCCTTTTTCAGTTTAAATAACTCTAAACACCCATTGCATTGAAATATGCTGGGTTCTCTAAAGATGCCACATGTGACGCTTGAAAAGTAATCACCACCAAGGACCAGTTCCTTCAGTCAGGATCTGGACTCAGAAGCCGTCACCACTGACAGGCAGAGTCATATGAATGGATTTTAAGGAATCCGCCTTCTCCTTAGTCTTGAACTCATTGGGCTTAACATTCACAAACCACAGGAGTGGACATCAGCTCGGGGAGACGGTAGTTGCGGGTTGCGGATGTCCTAGCATCTGCCCCACCCTTCCCGCAACCCTGTCTCCCACTGATGCCTTTCCCCAAGCTCACCCTGGCAGCCCCTCACCTTCTGGTACCAGTGTTTGACCAACCGCAGGAGGCTCTTCAGCTTAGTTGGCCGATGCTTCACAAAGTTTCTCTGCAGCTCGCTGAAGGATGGAGAGAAATTTCCTGGGTACCCATTAGCCTCGATCAGATTCACATAGACCTCGGAGTTGGGATGGGAAGGGCCTGAGGAGAGTGGAAGCGAAAACTGAGTGAAGAGTCTGGAATCCAGCGTGGACTAAGTAGGCGTTTGGGTCTGGTCACTCATTATATTATAGTTTATCTCCAGAGAGACCAGATGTTGGCATTTTGTCTAGGCTCCACCCCATAGTTACCTGGCAACAGCCAGGTGTGCTAGACTCACTATAAGAGGGGCTGCTTGCCCCCACCTCTCTCTCTTGCTCTCCTGCCCTTGCCCTCTTCCCCTCTTCCACCTTTCTCCCCATTTCCCTCCCCCTCCCTCTTCATGTGCTCATGGGATGTCTCAGCACGGGCCAGCAGAGGTACCCCTTTCCCCCACACCACACTGCACCTCCACCAAACATATCTCTGGTTTCTCTTTCTTTTTATAAAACACAACACCTGAGACCATGTATGGTTGTCTTTCTGGTGATTTTTTCCTTTCGTCCTTTCTGTCTCTTTCTTTCTTTCTTTCTTTCTTTCTTTCTTTCTTTCTTTCTTTCTTTCTTTCTTTTTTTCTTTCTTTCTTTCTTTCCTTCTTTCTTTCTTTCCTTCTTTCTCTCATGTGTGTGTTTCAAGACAGGATTTTTCTGTCCTGGAATTCGATCTGTAGACCTGTAGATCAGGCTGGCCTCAAACTCACAGAGATCTTCCTGCCTCTGCCTTCTGAGTGCGGGGATTACTCACCACCCTCCTTTACCCCCATGGAATTTCTGGTGCAATTCTTTAAAAGCTTCACAATTTAAATTTTACTTTGGTGACAGAGTCTCACTGTGTACACCTGGCTGCTTGTTAATTAGACTGGCCTCGTCTCAGACTCTTAGAAATCCACCTGATGCTGATTCCTGAGTGCTGAGATCAAAGGCGTCCTCCAGCACACCCGACCTAGTGAGTCCTACTCAGGAGAACCAGCACTGGGCTTCCCATGTCTCAGGTCCTCCCTGGATGCCCCCAATTCTTTCAGCTTTCCTTAATATCTGTTTTATCAATAGATCTCTTCCTGGATGATCGAATGGTATTTGTCAGTATTCCTAGGGGAGAACTGGGTCTATGCCATGCCATGGAGGACTTTCTTCCTGAGGCTGGACACCATTGCTAGCAACCGTGGGATAATGTTGCACAGCCTGTAATCAGTTGGGGGGTGGCTTACAAAAATCATTATGGTTTGGCTCTCTGAGCTCTGCTCCTGGGAAAGGTCACACAGACCCAGTAAATGCTACCTTGCTTCTGATCTGACTCCTTCCCCTGGTTGGGTCTTGGAGCATTCAAAATACACAGAAAGTCCTTTCCTGAAGCTTATTTGGTAGTTACCGGGGAAACCCCATTTCTGCTAATCACTGGCCACCATTTGTCTCGTGTTCCTAGTGGGCCTCTGAGATAAGTTTCTGTTTCCCAGGTCCACACGGCAGCTCACTCCAGCCCGGGACACAGGGTAGGAAGGAAGAAAGTATGTGGCCACCAGAAGAAAGAGGTCACAGTCTCTGGGGGAGGTCAGACCAGGCATGTACTTCTGTTTCCCTTACCCAGGGCTCTGTAGGCAGGCACGATGGTGACAGTGATGGGCTCCCAGGTCTCCCTGGTCTGGATCGTGAAGATGAGACTACTGGGTACTTCATCAGTCACGCTCAGGTTTCTGAGCCCAAGATCTAGCAGGTTCCGGGAGTAAGACATTCTTTTCTGTATCAGTCTCAGAACAGCTTGGTGGTACTTGGCCTCTTCCTGGAAGCTGTGGAAACAGCTCAGGAACACCACCAGCTCCACGTCTGTGGTACTCCTGAGCACTGTGCCGTTCCCAAAGCAGCCTACCTGTGGAAGACAGGACCCTGTCACCCCAATGCCCTCTGCCATGTGCCCGGCAACCAGGGGCTCCACATACAATGCAGCCCTTGAATCTAGAATCCTCCCACACTGGCTAGCTGAGAAGTGTTGCTTCCACCTCATGATGCAGACACACAGAGAATGAATTTTGCATTCAGCATCTCCAGCAGCTAGACTCTAGAACCCAGGCTTCTTTACGCTCACTCTCTTTTCTGACACACGGCCTACAGCTGACCTAGAACTTGTCATTTAGCTCAGGTTGCCTTTGAACTCACGACCCTCCTGATTTAGCCTCCCTAGCACGGGTTCCAGGAGTGGCCCACCAGGCAGACCTTGCTTCTCCACTGTACTGCACACCTTTGGAGATTCAGTCTTGTCCAACCCAGAGAAATGTCCAATCCAGGGGAATAACAAGTATCCCCAGTATAAACACTCCAAAATGTTCAAAGTCCTCTTTTATGTGCTGACACACTGCTACAAGTGGAAAAAAATCCCATACCTGTCCCCACCTGACTAAAAATAGTGTATAAAATTGCCTTTGGGTATGCGAAAACACATGAATTTCAAGAATAGACCTGGGTCCTATCCTAAGATATCGCATTATGTTAATATAAATAGGTTGAAGACCTGGGGAGGGGAGTGTTTCTAAACCTGAAACACTTCAGGGCCTAAATATCTGCTAAAAGTCTCCCAACCTGTAGAAATACCCACTGCACCATCTGTGAAACAGAGTCCCATCTGTCCATCTGTCCATCCATCCATCCATCCATCCATCCATCCGTCTTTCCTCCCTCCCTCCCTCCCTCCCTGTTTAAATTGTACTGTGGATGGCTCACGGCCCTTCCATCATGGTAGGCAAACACTTTCTCATTCGAGCCATAGGCCTAGCCCTGACCTGAGTCACCGGCTACATGGTCATTAGGAGCCCAAAGTCCATCAAGTGAGAAATCAAAACAGCAATGGGGTTATCGGGAAGATCAGACACAATACTGTATGCCCAGGGCTTGTGTGGGGGCCATGTTCCGGAAATCAGCAAGGCGTGTCCCAGAAGTCAGCAGTGTGTCTCTCTTCCCTTTTTATCTAGTCGATCCCCAGCTGCCTTCTCCACATTTAGTCACATTAGTGTCCCTCCCTCCCTCCTCCCTCCCTCCCTTCTTCCCTCCTTCTCTCTCTCTCTCTCCCCCCCTCTCTGTCTGTCTTTCAGATTTATTTATTTTATATACGTGAGTACACTATCACTGTGAAGAGGGCATCAGATCAGATCCCATCACAAACGGTTGTAAGCCACCATGTGGTTGCTGGGAATTGAACTCAGAACCTCTGGAAGAGCAGTCAGTGCTCTTAACCGCTGAGCCATCACTCTAGACCCCCGATTTCCGTATCTCCTAATGGCAAGAGACTGGACTGTTAAATATTTTTCCATTTTCTTTATTCGCGTCCATGTCCCACATACCCCGCGGCACACATGTGGAGGCCAGGGGACAAGTCATTGAAGTTGGTTCCCTTGTTTTGTCATGTGGGTTCCTGGGATTATACTCAGGGTGGCAGGCTTGGCATTAGGCACCTTTCCGTGCTGAGCCACCTGCTGGCCTCCAAATCGGATGATTTTGAAGAGAGAGTCTAGACTTGCTCTCCTGGCTCTGCCTCCCTGGCATGCAAAGCCCCACACCTCTCTGGCTCACCTCTGGCTCACCCCACATTGGACTACTGAGGTTGGGTCATTCTCTGGGAGGCTACCTTTCTCGGTTAATGAGTCACTGCAGAAATTAAAATACTGCTATCACAGGCTGAGCAGTCCCTGTATCTGGCACCACCAAAGGCCATTTAATGCACATCTCCTTTCTAATCACCATAGAGACTGGCCCTGTGACCGGGCTCCCCAGGGTACAACACTGACTACAGAGGCAGTGGAGCAAAATTCACTTGCAAGGTCTCCCAGCCAGCGAGGGAGTGAGATGGCAGCTCAGCAGACATGGCTGATGGCTCTTCCTCTCCACCCTAAGATGGCCTCCACACACTGTGCTCTGCTCCCAGAGATCAGGTGTCTGTGGTCTTTATTCTCCATTTTAACTCTGATTCCACTAGTAGTCAGACTTGGTGTTCCTATCCTGAGAGAAAGGACTGGAGATTGATTGTGAATGTGGCCAAAGGGCGATCCCTCTGCAGGTCAGGTCATGTCTACACTGCCCTCTCCCTTCCCCTGTGAGGAAAGTACAGCTTAGGACAGACTTCATGATTGTCTTTTCGGATTCAGTCATGTGGACAGCTCAGCTCTCTGGAGCTTCAAGGGTGGAGGAATAAATGAGTGTATGATACATCTGATGTAGGATATATTGAGTGTAGGATACATTTCATTGAGTGCAGGATACATCCAGTGTGGGATACAACCAGTGTGGGATACATCCAGTGTGGGATACATCCAGTGTAGACTACATCTAGTGTAGGATACATCCAGTGTGGGATATATCCAGTGTGGGATACATCCAGGGTGGGATACAGCCAGTGTAGGACACATCCAGTGTGGGACACATCCAGTGTGGGATACATCCAGTGTAGGATACATCCAGTGTAGGATACATCCAGTGTGGGATACATCCAGTGTGGGATATATCCAGTGTTGGATATATCCAGTGTGGGATACATCCAGGGTGGGATACAGCCAGTGTAGGATACATCCAGTGTGGGATACATCCAGTGTGGGATACATCCAGTGTAGGATACATCCAGTGTAGAATGCATCTAGTGTAGGATACATCCAGTATAGGATACACTCTTACTGTTCTTGCTCTGTGTGTGTGGCTATCATTTAGTGGGTTAAGGGGAGGAGAAATGAGGCTTAGCAGTTTGCATCTGTAGCCATCAAAACTTACTCTACTTGGTGAGTATTCTGCCTAGATACTAGCTGTTCTACCCACTTCTTTCTTAGGTATGTCAGGGAGGGAGTGGTCTAGAGGACACCTTTTCCCAAGAGACTCCCAGGGACCAGGAAAAAGCCCCAGGTAAGCATCACAATGAAGCCCTTGTTTCTAAGAATTTACCCTGAGATAACCTTTAGGCTGCATGATCTCAGTGCTGGGCAAGGGGAGATGGTGTTTCGGGTGTTGCAATCACGGAGGAGCAGACCAAGGACTTAAGACCTGAGACGGGGTGGTCACAGTCACGCAGCTGGGGAGAGGAAGAGCCCAGCCTCAAACCCTCTCTATGTGGTGGCAGAACTATGGCTGCCACTTCTAAATCATGTGACCTGAGGTCTTGGAGATGGAATCTGTTGCAAGGAAGGCAGAGGCCCAAGGCTGTTAAATTCATCCCAGAAGAGCAAGTTAAAGCCTCAGACTGAGACTCTAGAGTCCTAATTCTAGTCTGGATGTTGCCATTAATTTGGGGTATGGCTTTAGGGTGTGTCAAACTTTCCATGTGTCAGTCTCCCTAACATTTAAATGAAGAATTGGCTGAGGCTAGTTCTTCTCAAAAGCTGTGTGTGTGCATGTGCACAATCCACACTAGTGCACACCCATGTGCGGAGGTCAGAGGTCAACCTTGGGTATCATTCTTCAGGCTGCCCAGTTTGTCTTTTGACACAGGGTCTTCTACTGTGCCCTGGGGCTTGCAGATTCGGCTAGACTGATAGGCCAAGGAGACTGATAGGCCTACTGGTTCTCTGGCTCCCCAGGGCTGGAGTTATAAATTTGAACATCCATACTCAGCCCTTGTCCCACCCCCTTCCAGGGTCTGTTGAACTCTGTGATCCTTAGCTCAGCTTGGGTGTGGGTGAGGGAGCTGGAAGAAGGATTTAAGGAGAAAAAGAAATCTAGGTGAGAAATTTGGGTCACAGTTCTGAGTAGCCATGTTCAAATCCCAGCTCCACTGCCAACAGTGCAGCTCCGAACAAGCTGGATGGCTGCTCTCAGCCTGCATTTTAAGAGTCTTTCTGTTATCAAAAAATTAAAACATGGAGAAAATAGGAAGGCGATACCACCCAGGCACCCAGCACATCTGAACTTGCCACATCTGTGACCGTCTTTATTTTGTCTGTGCCAAGGCTTGAACCCATAGCCACCCCCCACGCCCTGTACATGCTGGGCTAACGTGCTAGTCTTGAGCCACATCCACAGCTCTCACTTTTACATTTGCATCATCTCAACCACTTTAAAGTGAGTAGCAGACAGCAAGGATCTTTGCTCCCAAACAGTATAGCATGTGAGTATCCCAAAAGAGAGCCTCCCCACCCCAGTAGGTGTGATTTGACTTGACAAACAGCAATTTTCTTACAAAGTGCAGGTCATACTAAATATTTACCACTCATCCTTAAACTAACTCTCTCTCTCTCTCTCTCTCTGACTCTGTTTCTGCCTCTCTGTGTCTGTCTCTGTGTGTGTCTCTCTCTCTGTCTCTCTCTGTCTCTTTGTCTCTGTCTGTCTGTCTGTCTGTCTCTCTCTCTCTGACTCTGTTTCTGCCTCTCTGTGTCTGTCTCTCTGTGTGTGTGTCTCTCTCTCTCTGTCTCTCTCTGCCTCTCTCTCTCTCTCTGTCTCTCTGTCTCTGTCTCTGTCTCTGTCTCTGTCTCTCTCTCTCTCTCTCTGTGTACTTTTCTGAGACATGTAACCTAGGCTGGCTTTGAACCCATGATCCTCTTTCTCTTGCTTCCACGTCCCACATGCTGGGGTTGCAGGCGTGGACCCCCAAGTCAAGCTCCCCAAAACTGTATTTTTACAAATTACATATCAGGATCCAACTAGAGGCCTTGCATTGCCCGCTGTCATTATAGCTCCGACACTGCTGAGCCTTTGTTAGGCTCATCTGTAAAATGGGACAAGAACCATATCTATGTCACAGAGTACACGTTTTTAACGACAGGACAGAACGTGAAGGTTTAAGCTACCCGTCTCCCTAAAGGTGGTCTTTTATTCTCTTCTTCAGGAGTTCAATCTGCTCAAGGCAGTAGGTCGCAGACAGCCAGCTGGGGCGTCTGGAGATGTCAGAAGTGTGAAGTAGGGATCACGAGGCAAGGGGACCCCCTGGCACTGGGGTTTGCCCCGTCCTGGCTGGGAATGGAGAGGTCCAGTCTTACCTTGAGTATCTTGAGCACTCGCATATCCCGGGCCAGTCCACGTTCTCCATGGAAGTTCTCCTGCCTCAGGAACTGTTCCACAGTCTGCACAGTGTCCAGGACCTCTTCTTTCCATTCTCTGGTTGGCTGCAGCCACTGAGCCACAAAGGAGTCCAGCTTGGAGGCCGGGAAACCGTACAGCTCCTGGGCTACTGCCATGTCTGCGTGGACCGCGACAGCCAGCTGTGGCAGGGCTATATAGCCAAGGCCCCACCCTGCTCCCAGCGCACACCTCTTTCTTTTTTAAGGCGGCTCCTTTCTAGCTGACCTCTACCACCCTGGGGTGGAAAGGGGGGGTGAAGAGAGGAACTTGGGAGCAAGGCTCTATGGTGGGTTCCCTTCTTGGAAATTTATTGTCATGGCAGGTGTGCTGAGGGACGAGAGGCTGGGGCTGGCAGGTCCGGACCACCTTAACAGGGTTGGCATCTGGCCAACTTGTGTGCAGTAAGTTTCGATTCTCAACAGTTGTAGTTTCCCTTTTATGACGTTGGAAAACTGAAATTGGCTTGAGTCTGACCTTCTGGAGACACCTTGTGTAGATGACTCAAGCCGACTGCCCCCCACACGACCCAACCCGTCATAGGGAAACTGAGGTTTGGAAAGAGAAAGCGCCTACTCATGGTTATGGTAAGGAATGAGGAATCTGGAATCAGAAGGACACTTTGAGGTCCTATATCCTTTGTCAGACGCTTTTTATTTATTTTATTTAAAAGAATTCGTATTATATTTTATATATTTATATAAAATTTATATTTTATTTATAAATTTAAATTTATATTTATGTAAAAGAAAAAATATATCTACATATTTTTTTAAAGGAGGGGTGCGTATGTCATGGCACAAATGTGGGGGCGTCTGAGTACAACCTGCAGAAGTCTGTGGTCTTCTTCCACCACGTGGGTTCCAGGAACCGAACTCTGGTCGTTAGGCTTGCCAATGAGCCATCTTGACCCAGACTCTCATATTCTTGGTGCATTGGATAGATTTGGTAATAATAGCGTCTCAGAAATCGGTGTGGGTGAAACATAAGAGTTTCGAGCAGAAGGCTGGAGGGATAGCTCAGCGGTTAAGAGCACTGACTGCTCTTCCAGAGGTCCCGAGTTCAATCCCCAGCAACCACATGGTGGCTCACAACCATCTGTGAGGGGATCTGATGCCCTTTTCTGGTGTGTCTGGAGACAGCAAGTGTTCTCACATACATTAAATAGATAAATTAGAAAAAGAAAAGAGTTTCCAGCAGAGAAAATGTGTGGTCAAGGTAAGGGCTTTTACTTTCTCACAAAACATTTACTTAGTAACCAGCAGACACCATCCAGGGAAGACAGGATGGGGTGAGCGTCCCGGCCCAGAGAGTTCTCTGAGCTATGAGACAGATGAGCAGGGATTGAGATTCTCGCCGGTGTGAAGCCCTTGACAGACTCAATCCCAGCAGAAGGACAAGTAGGGCAACTGAGGGGGGCACAGAAAGGGGGGCGTGAGGTCTGCGTAGAGGCTGAGAAGTGGGATTAGCCGTAGAGTCAGGACTCACGGGGTGGGGGGATGTACTTCAGAATTTGGTGAGGAGGGGATATACCAGGGCGGGAGAGCACAGTGCTGTTCACTGGCTTATCCCCACTTTCCTGTGTTGATTCTGGCATCCGAAAGCGTTTACTAAGCATCTACTGTGTCCCAGGCAGGCAACTAGACCAGTGAACAGACAAGAATCCCTGTCCCCAGAAAACTTACACACTAGTGGTAGAAACAGGTGACGAGTAGGGTTAATAAGTGAAGTGAGAGTAAAGAAAATGTGGATGAGAACTAAACAGAGAAAGAAAATGGAGAAAAGGGCCAATAGGGCGGGCCTGCGTGTGTACGTAAGTATGTATGTAGGGACTGTGCGTGCGTGCCTGCGTGCGTGCGTGGGTGCTTTAGGTACTTTATCTTAATCAGTGGAGGCCTACTGAAGGAGATCTTGAACAAAGACAAGAAGGCCGTGCGGAGTGAGCTGCATGGATGGGGAGGGAAGAGGATTCTCTATAACAAAAGAAAACACAGCCGGGTGGTGGTGGCGCATCCCTTTATCCCAGCACCTGGGAGGCAGAGGCAGGTGGATTTCTGAGTTCGAGGCCAGCCTGGTCTACAGAGTGAGTTCCAGGACAGCCAGGGCTACACAGAGAAACCCTGTCTCGGAAAACCAGAAAACAAAACTTGAATGTGTTTGCATTTAAGCACATGAACATCATACAGAGTCTTAAGAAAACGTTTTAAAAGCCAAAGCAACCAAATGCAGAAGCCACTAACAACAAGATTGTTAGAGACACAAGACCTGTGAGTGGACTTGGACCCTGAAATCGTTAAGGATTGGGGTTGGGGGGGATGCAAGGGCTCAGCAAAGAAGAATAAGGAAGAGCAGGAGGGTGAAGGAAAGGAGAATGTTCTGGAAGTCAAGTGATAATACTGTTTGACAAAGAGGAAGTGCCTCACTGGGTCACATGCCAGGTGAGTCCGGAGTGAATCAGAATCTTGTGCAGAGAACTTAGAACCTAGCTCAATCGCTCTGCCAGCTTCCTTTTTTTTAAAATTTTTTTTTTCTTCGATACAGGGTTTCTCTGTGTAGCCCTGGCTGTCCTGGAACTCACTCTGTAGACCAGGCCGGCCTCAAACTCAGAAATCCACCTGCCTCTGCCTCTCAAGTGCTGGGATTAAAGGTGTGCGCCACCACTGCCCGGCTCTCTGCCATCTGCTGTACTGAGGACAGATGGCAGAAATGCTAGAGGCAGGGAGATGGGTCTGACACCGTGTGGCGGTCCAAGTGGGATGCAAGGTGGGCTGGCAGTGGCGGCACACGCCTTTAATCCCAGCACTAGGGAGGCAGAGGCAGGCGGATCATGAAGCCAGCCCGGTTGATACTGTGAGTTCCAGGTCAGCGGAGGCCGAATAATGAGATCTGTCTATAGAAAGAAAGAAGAGGTGGGGAGAGGACAATGGCTTGGACTGGGATTGGACAGAAAGGAGGTAAGGAAAGGGGCTGGGTTCTAAGTCTCTGAAGGAGGAGAAACAGAGATGGTTGCTCCTCCTCTCAGGCTTCGTCCTTGGGCCGCCATTAGTGAAAGGAGGAATCGTGAGTCAGTGGAACCCAGGAGTGAGTCTTTGTGACAAGACACGGAGGCGTCTGTGAATGAGGAGGTGGGAAGCTTCATGTGGAGACCACACTTGGTTTTCCTTGTCACACAGATGATGGTCACTAGCACCTTGAGGAAAGATCCATAGTGCATGAGTGGCGGGTAGGAAATGCTGCCCTAGGGGGAGTGGCCAAAGAGGTGGGGCCAAAATTGGGAGTTTAAAAATCCTCCATATGGCATGCTTAGGATAAGTTAAGAAACACAGGTCTGAGTTCGAGGCCAGCCTGGTCTACGGAGTGAGTTCCAGGAGAGCCAGGGCTACACAGAGAAACCCTGTGTCAGAAAAACCAAAACCAATTAACAACAACAACAATAACAACAACAACAAAAGACAGGAGAGGGACCGAGAAGTTTCTGGTGGTCAAGGTGGGAGCAGAAGGCAGCTCAGGATGCTGTAATGCTGGGTTGTGATCAGAAGCTGATCAGATCAGGGATCACTAGGAGACTGCGCACTGGATAACTCTGAGGGATTTCTAGAGCCACTTAGACCCTGAGGGCCCTGCTGATCAGTGTTCCAATCCGCTAATGGATTCAAAGATTGAATGGGTCTTGGGAGGTGTCGAACCTGCAGAAGGAGGGGTCGGAGAAAGGGAATGACCTTGCCCTGACCCCTCCGTTAGTACTCGACTCATTCCCCTGTTTCCAAGGCTGTAAGTCAGCTTCTGAACCTTGCTTCCTGATGCTGCAACCCTCTAACACGGTTCCTCTGGTTGTGGTGACCCCCAACCATAGGATTATTTTGTTGCTACTTTGTAACAGTAATTTTGCTACTGTTATGAATCAGAGTGTAAATAGCTGATATGCGGGCCCCAAATGAATTACTACCACAGGCTGAGAACCACGGATGTAAGCTGCTCCGTGTCCACTTTGCTGTGGCGGACTGATGATATCTTTGAAACTGTGAATTAACCAATCTTTCTGCCTTTCTAGAAGTTGTCTTCTCCTTCTCCTTCTCCTTCTCCTTCTCTTTCCTTCTTCCTTCCTTCTGCCTTCCTTCTTCCTTCCTCCCTCCTCTTCCCCCTCCTCCCCGTCTTCCTCCCACTCCTCATCCTCTTCTTCCTCCTGCTCTTCTCTCCCTTCTCCTTTTGACAGTTCCTGAGCCTTGGTGTAGGGATTGGTGTGATAAATGTCCCACTGGTGGCTGAGTGGGACACACACTCACTTTCTGTCCTTTAGCCAGCTAGGGGTTTGTCCTCCAACCACTCCACAACCAAAGTTCTCCGATAGGGTCTGAGAGCTGTACTTATCTACAGGTACAAAGATTTTTAAAATTTTTTTTCATCTTCCTAGACCCTGTGGGTTTTTTTTTTTTTTTATGATTTATTTATTTAGAGTGCTCTAGCTGCATGAAGACCTGCAGGCCAGAAGAGGGCGTCAGATCCCATTACAGATGGTTGTGAGCCACCATGGGGATTGAACTCAGGACCTCTGGAACAGCAGATCTTAACCACTGAGCCATCTCTCCAGCCCGGGGTCCTGTATTTTTGAGATATGACTTTAGAGTTTATTTATGAAAATCATAGTACTAGGTTCACTCCCTGAGACCTCTGAGCTCCCAGCTATAAATTCAGGGTTAGGTTTACAGTATTGGGCATGTGTTTCTTCCCATGGAACGGCCCTTAAATGGAGGCAGGAAGCATACCCCAAGCCATCCTTGCACCCATAAGCATCACTTGTTAGGTGGTCGTCATTGTAACTTTAAGGGTACACAGCTGGCTACACCTGTTGATGTTTTTTTACCCTCTGCAGCCTGTACAGCGCTTTCCCGTACTATGAAAGGTAACCACTAGAGGGCGCTTCTCGATGCTACCAACTTGATTTCTCCAAGTCCTGTGACTTTGCTATATGACTCTAACTGGTCTGGAATTCACTCGAGAGCGAAGGCAATAGCCTGAATTATTTTGGGAGGCTCCAGGGTAGCCCTGACTGACACCTGGAGGTGAAGTATATCAACCTTGTGCTGGGATTTTTATTTGACCACTGGTAGCTTCTGGAGAGAACATTATCCCCTATGTAGGGTAACTCCGGTGAAAATATTTTCTGGGACTATCTCTTTATTGCGCTTACAAAATAGCAAGCTTCAAGAGAGCTTCCTCGGATGTCCTTAGTGCTAGCTGCCTCTCCGGCATCCTTCATCTGACCTAGCCTCAGCACCAAGTTCTTAAGTCAGACCATATTCTAACATTTAAAAGAGTACCAGTAATTTCTTTCTTTCCTTCTTTCTTTCTTTTTCCTTTTCTTTAGAAATACAAACTCAAGATATATTTATTTATTTTTATGTATATGAGTACACTGTAGCTGTCTTCAGACACACACCAGAAGAGGGCATCAGATCCCATTACAGATGGTTGTGAGCCACCATGCGGTTGTTGGGAATTGAACTCAGGACCTCTGGAAGAGCAGCCAGTGCTCTAACCACTGAGCCATCTCTCCAGCTCCAAGTAGTGGTAATTTCACAGATGGAAGTCAGCACAGACTAAGACTTCTATATTTACCATATGTTTATACTGACATGATTTATTCACACAAGATCTGGTCGGGCCTTACATACTCTTTCTGTTCACCTCCACAAAGCATCCTAGGGGCAAGCGACATCAACCATTTCACCACTAATACTCTGGATATCATTTGAATATTTTAAAAGGGGACATAGAGTCGGTAATGCATTGGCTTTTTGGAGTGTCAAAACACAACTTAATTAAACAAGTTTCTGTAGGGAAAGAGGAGACCCAATTATTGGAGGGAGATGACCAGGTTTGGGACCAGAGGCAGACATGGGAAGATTTTGTGGTTTGGAGTCTCCATAATGCAGGGCACCAAATGAGGACTTGGGTAAGGACTGTTTGTTCTTGAATGCTCTCAAAAGCAAACAGTGGGAAGTTGGGGGGGGGGTGAAGGGTAGAGACTGCAGATCCCAGAAACACTGACAGCCACTTCTGTGTTCTCATATTGCTTCCCTGTATGCATGTGTATTAGCCAGGGTTCCTCAGAGGATCAGAACTGAAAGGATGGATGTTTACGGGATTTATCAGAGTGGCGTACAGGGTTGGATCTTCAGTTCACAAGGCTGGGCCTCTCAGTTGCTCTTTGGTCTCTGTTGGAATCCTGAAGAAGTAGGTTCTAATACCAGTGATGGAATGCCTCCACAGGAGGATAGATGGATTGGCCAGACAGAAGGAGGGCTTCCATGAAGCCAAAGCTTCCTTCTTCCATGTCCTTTATGTATCCTGCCACTAGAAGGTGTGGCCAAGATTTAGGGTGGGTCTTAGCTGATTCCAGGTGTAGTCAAGTTGACAACCAAGATTAGCCATGACAGTGTGTTGTGGGGTTGTATGTGTAGGGTGTATACTTGTGAGCCTTTGGATGTGCTCAACCTTGCATGCACACACAAAGGCCAGAGAAAAATACTACGTGTCTTCCTCTGTTGCTCTCTGCCTTACGGCTTTGGGACACGATCTCTCGCTGAACTGGAAGCTTTGCTCTTTATGCTAGACTGGCCACCAAGCTCCTGGGATCTGCCTCTCTTTGTCCGTCAGGACCAGAGTTACAGATCTGTAGCCATGTCCTGCTTGTTGCTGCTGGGGATTCAAATCCTGTCCTCAATACTTGTAGACTAAGTCCTCTGCCCTACTACATAAGGAACCCCTGTACACCCAAATTTTCCCCACTGGGGACTCTCTAGATGCTACATAGAAAGTACCATCATTAAATATAGACTTCGTTTTTCTTTTTCTTTTTTTTGGTTTTTCGAGACAGAGTTTTTCTGTGTAGCCCTGGCTGTCCTGGAACTCACTCTGTAGACCAGGCTGGCCTCGAACTCAGAAATCCGCCTGCCTCTGCTTCCCAAGTGCTGGGATTAAAGCGTGCGCCACCACCACCCGGCTGAAAGGGTGATTTCAAGAGCGATTGTCCCTCACCAGCGTTTGTAATTAATTGACTTGTCACAAGCCCAGGTAGAAGAAAGGGGCATTTTTGGTGAATGTTGTCTCCTTTGGTGGTGATACAGTCATTTTCCTCTCTGCTGCACAGTTTTGAGTTCTCAGCTCTCAGGATTTACACCTCGGGTTCCCTGGTTGTCAAACCTGAGACAAAATCCTAGCAATGCTTTCCCTGGGTCTGTATTGTGCAGCCTACATAATCATGTGACCATGTGACCATGTGATCATGTGAGCTAGTTCTCAAAATAATCCTCTTCCCCTACCCACTTCCTTTCCATTAGTTCTGTTTCTCCAGAGAATCCTGGCTAACAGCCAAGGATTAATTTGTTTGTTTGTTTGTTTGTTTGTATGTTTGATTTTTTTCCAGATAGGTTTTCTCTGTGTAGCCCTGGTTGCCCTGGAACCCATTCCGTGGACCAGGCTGGCATGGAGACCAGAGATCCAGAGATCCACCTGCCTCTGCCTCCAGAGTGCTGGGATTAAAGGGAGCACCACCGAGGCCTAGCAACAATTCCCCACCCCCACCCTCCACCTAGTTTATGTTTTTAAGATGAGAGTCTTAAACTCTAGCCTAGGCTGGCCTTAGACTCACTATATATGTAGTCCAGGCTATTCTGAAACTCATGGTAATTCTCCTGCCTCAGACTCCTGAGTTCTGAGGTTGCAGACGTGAGCCATCACCTGGTCTTAACTTAGTTTTAACTTAGCCATTTAGGGTTCTGTCGCTTGTAGGCCTAAGGACCCTGAGATGGATAAGCTTGGTTGTCAACGTGGCTAGCTGTAGAATTGACTAAAAGACAAGCCATTGGGCAGTCTTGTAAGGGGCTTTCTTTAAAAATTAAGTCATTTGAATAGGGATGACCCATCCAAAACATTAGTGACTCATTCTGGTGTCAGCTGATTGAAGGACATGGGAGAAGAAATCTGTATTCTGCTCGCTTGCCCTTCCTCTAGGAAGTCCGGCTGTCCTGTCGATGTGGTACTTTTCACTGACATTAGAACCAATGTCTTTGGGATTCCAACATAGGCTGATGACGACAGCTCTCCAGGAATCCTCCAGGCCTTTGCTGACAGAGACGGCTGAGAGAGCCAGCCTTGGACCAAGGCAGGCACTGGAGTGGACCTTGGATGTCGATTCTGTCTCCCACAATGCTCCAGCAATCCCGAGAGGAAAAACAGCGATGATCTTCAGGGAAGCAGTAGAGCGCGCTCAGAGCTCGGTGGACTTGTGGGAGCCTGAAGAAATCAGAGCTCTCGGATTCTTGGCCTCTCCAGTGTGAGGCAGCCGTGGCTGGACAACCTGGACCACACCCTAAGCCACTCTAGTAAACCCCCCTTTAATATCTCTGTAGTCTATTTGGTTTTCTGTTCTTTTAGGGAACCTTGAGATTCTTAAAGAACAAACGGACATTGAGCACAGGTGATGAGGAAACTGGGGGCGTTGCCGAGGGGGTGGGGCCCTGGCTGGGGAGGAAGGGAAGTAAGCCTGGGGTATAGAGGAAGTAGAGGGCGCATGGCTCAAGGTCCTTCCTCCTTGGATTTGTACCATTTCCTTCTCTAATCTAGATTAAAGCCACTGGCTTCCCCTAATGGCATCAGTCTCTTTCAAACTCTGATTTCCTCCGGCTCCCACAAGTCCAGTGAGTCCTGAGCACGCTCACTCCTTCCCTGAGGGTCATCCTTCTTTTTTCCTCTTGGGATTGCGTCGTGGGAGAGAGCAGCAGCAGCCAAGGTCCACCCCAATGCCAGAGTTTGCAGGTTTTGTGAGTGCCTTCTCCATCTTCTTCGTATAGGAGGCGGGGCTCTGAGGGAGGCGGGGCTCTGAGGATGGCTCAGTGGGTGGAAGTGTTGCCTGGTGGCCTGAGTTCAGGTCCCTAGAACACACGTGAAAGAGGAGTGTAGTAGCACGAGCTCTGTAATCCCAGCGTGACCCCCAGAGAGGGACGTGGAGACGGGACACTCTCCAGAAGCCCACAGCCCTGTCAGCCTGGCGTGTGTGGTGCTGAGGGATCCTGTCTCCCAAAGTGGAAAGGTAAGGACTGACACAGCAAGTCATGGCGTTCCAAAGGGGAACAAACACATATGCACACTCACACACACACACACTCTCTCTCTCTCTCTCACTGACTCACACCCACATGCACCATACCTTACACACACACGTGAATACCCTCACACACACATATCACACACACATATACACACATATGCAAACCTTCACACACATATCACACACACACATCATACACACTCACATCACACACACACCATACACACACACCATGTACACACACACATCATACACACAGACACAAACTAACACACACTGACTCACACACACATACACCATACATCACACACACACATCATATACACACATATGCAAACCCTCACACACACACATCGTACACGTTTGCTCTCACATACATATCATACATACACACTTTATACAAACACACACATCATACACAGACACACACCATACACACACCACACACACACCACACACACAACATACACACACACAACACACACACACCATTCACACACATCATACACACATCACATACATATCATGTACACACACACACACACACACCACACTCTCCCTCCCTGCTAAAAAAAGAACCAAAATAAACAAGCAAAACAAGAGAAATTCCTCTTCTAGGAATTCTGGATCCAACAGACAAATATTTATTTAAGACATATTTAAAGGCAAACATGCACTGGGCGGTGGTGGCACACGAATTTAATCCCAGCACTTGGGAGGCAGAGGCAGGCGGATTTCTGAGTTCGAGAGTTCGAGAGTTCGAGGCCAGCCTGGTCTACAGAGTGAGTTCCAGGACAGCCAGGGCTACACAGAGAAACCCTGTCTCAAAAAACCAAAAACAAAACAAAAAAAGGCAAACATGCAAATTTATGCACAAGATGGAAATGAATTCAGGGCAAGGAAGACAGGGAAGTGTAGTTTTTAGCCTTTACCAATGTGTCTGCCTTAAAGTTGTGTTACTGGGAAGGAAGGAGAGGTAGAAAGGCGACGAAGAGAAGCAGAAACTGCTGTCTCATCTTTTCTCTCCATTTGTGGTTTGGCTCCAGCACAGAAGCGAATATCGGGGACTCTGCCAGGTCGGAGAGGACACGGCTCTTTACAGTTCCTTCCATTCCCAGACCAGGACATGAAAGGGGAACTCAGAGCAGAAAGAAAAGCACTTCGTGACAACTGCGGCCATTAGATTCAGTAATTTTTATTTGTTAATTGTCTGAGATGTATATAGGTGCTTGTGTGTGTATACGTGTTTATATGTATGTGCCACACATGTATGCCATATGTGTATATGTGTGTATGCATGTGTGTGTGCATGTGTGTTTATGTGTTTGTGTATGCCATGTGTGTATATGTGTGTGTGCATGTGTGTTTATGTGTTTGTGTATGCCATGTGTGTATGTATGTATGTATGTGTGTGTTTATGTGTTTATGTATATGCCATGTGTGTATGTATGTGTGTGCAGTGTGTGTATGTTATGTGTGCCGTGTGTATGTGTATATATATATATATATATATATATATATATATATATATATTTATGTGTGTATGTGTGTATTATGTGCATGTTTGTGGATATGTGTGTGTACATGTGTGTTTGTGCATGCCATGTATGTGTTTATGTCTTTGTGTATGTATGTGTGTGCCATGTGTGTATGTTATGTGTGCCATGTATGTATATGTGTATGTTTGTGTGCATACATGTATTGTGTGTCTGTGTATATGTAATGTGTGTGCATGTGTCTTTATGTATGGCATGTATATATTTATATGTGTGTTTGTGTATATGTATGTATCTGTCATGTGTATGTGTTTGTGTGTGTTTATATGTTTGCACTGTGTGTGTGTATGTGTCTGTGTGTGTGTATGCATTCTCAGAAGCTAGAAAAGGTTGCTGTCGGGTTCCCTGGAGTTGGAGTTGCAGGCAGCTGTGAACTGCCAAGTATGGGTGCGGGGAATCAAACTTGGGTCCCCTACAAGAGCAGTGTGTGCTCTCAGTGTCTGGGTCACCTCTTCCAGCCTTTGTCCTGGGCAGGAGGAAGAATACACATCAGGACTGAGAGGAGAGATCACGTTTACACCACAGAACAGATCTCATGCAAGAGATTTGGGATGGGGGGCGGAGGCCTCCTGGGAGTGGGGACAAGACAGAGAGGGATGGAGAAAGAGAGAGAGACAGAGACACACACACACAGAGACAGAAAGAGACTGAGACAGAAAGAGAGACACAGAGATACATACAGAGAGACACCAAGACAGAGAGAGACAGAGGCAGACAGAGATAGACAGACAGACAGACAGAGACAGAGATAGATATCCATAATAGGGGGGACTTTTTGTGACATTTGGTGGCCGGTGATGGTGTGGCTGCTGGTGGGCTGGGGGTTTGGGGGATTGGTAGGGACCGGGGGCAGGGCACACCTGGTTCCTAACAAGTAGGACAACAGTTACCAATCTAAGCCTGTTGTTTGGAGTAACATAAATGGCACATGGTCTGTGCTGGTTCGAGTACACAGGAAAGGCTCAAGAAGTAATAGTCACCAGTCTAGCATTCATAGTTTGATCAGCTTGGCCTAGGCAGTGGGCGGGGTGTATCTTGGGTCAGGTGATCTTCCCTAGGTAATCAGCTAAGATCACTGGTGTCAGCAAGTTACCATCAGGATGGTGAGGCCAGACTTTCTGGCACGTGCCCACTGTGGGAAGACCAGAGAAGAAGAGACTCCTTCCAGGAGACACAGGAAAGCCTGGACATTTGGCCAAGGGTCTGTCCTGATTCCTCTCCTTCTGAACATAATTTCCTATATTTTTGTTTGTTTGGTTTTGGTTTTTTGAGACAGGGTTTCTCTGTGTAGCCCTGGCTGTCCTGGAACTCACTCTGTAGACCAGGCTGGCCTCGAACTCAGAAATCCACCTGCCTCTGCCTCCCAAGTGCTGGGATTAAAGGCATGCGTCACCACTGCCTGGCTAATATATTCTAAGCTTTTTCCATAGCTGTAAAATGTAGAAGGGTTGTTATTTCTACAAGTCCATCCAACTCCAAGGCAGCTGTAAAGATAGTCCTATGGCGTTGTCTGTGAGACTTCTGGTAGAACGTTAACACAAGTGCATGAGTGGGATTCTGTGTGTATCAAGGGGCCAATACATAAACTGAAGCGAGCTAAGGAAGAAGGCAGAAAAGATACCCACTTTGATTTGCTTGGGGACGTGAAAGGTGAAAGGACACAAGGAGAATCTGGGAGGGAAGAAGACAACCAAGTCTCGCAGCCTCTCTCCCTGGGCTTTGGCTTCCTGTCTTGCTGTTTGTGCCTCTATTCTGTGGGCTAATGGCTCTCTTTCTGTATTTATGTAAGGGTTTGGGGTGAACCTATTCTTGGCCGTTTAGCTTCTTTCAATCCCGACTGTACCAGAACTTTACCGGGCCCCACTCTCCAAGACTGAGATCTGTGATTGGCTACCGGTGGCCCCACTCTCCAAGACTGAGATCTGTGATTGGCTACCGGTAGCCGATGGATGGATTCTACCCTCATCACCTCCCACCAAGTAGGTGTAGACAGAAGGAGGCCATGGCGACCCACCAGCATGAGGTTTGTATAGCTGACACGGGGCCATCTTCAGAGAATGACATGTGGGTCAGGGGCACCTGAAAGTCTGTGGACTCTGAAATGGCATCAGGGCCGGTGAAGACAATATTGAAGGATTCAGAGCCATCCTTTGGTTCGCTTCTTTATTTAACAAGCACACGTCAAACATTGATACTGGGTTGGTACCATTCTCGAGCACAAGGCCTGAGGGATTAAAAACAATCAAGACTGATCAGACGAAGGAGATAGATTTAACACAGCATGATTAAGTCCCACGTACGTTCCCAGGAGTCTAACGTGGATGAAGGGAGAGGGTGGAAACATAAGATGATGGCCTCTGTATGGGCCAGATAATAGCTGTTTTCAAACATGAACATGCAGGACGACATGGAAGGTTTGTGAAGACACGGACCGCTAGCCGGGCGGTGGTGGCGCACACGCCTTTAATCCCAGCACTTGGGAGGCAGAGGCAGGCGGATTTCTGAGTTCGAGGCCAGCCTGGTCTACAGAGTGAGTTCCAGGACAGCCAGAGCTACACCGAGAAACCCTGTCTCAACCCTCCCCCCCCACCAAAAAAAAAAAAGACACGGACCACTGAGTCTTGGTGGAATATCTGGCTCGGGTTAGTCTTCCCTTCTAGAAGGTTTCTGCAGAGGTGAGTAACCTGTCAATCTGGGGTCTGCTCTTTGAGATTCGGTGACTTACAGAAAGACGGAAACACAGGCTGGGGGAAAGGATGGTTGAGGCAAAGTGACGGAGGTGTGACTTGTACTCAGTGTGACCCGCACTCGCTGTGACTGGGCTCTCGGTACTTGTGCTTGGCGTGACTCGGTCCTGGGTACTCCGTATTCAGTGTGACTCGACGCTCTGTGCGTTTCAAGGTGTCACTCGGCGTTTGGTGTGAGTTGAGTGTTTGGAGTGGGGGTGGGGGACTAAGTAGGACTCAGCTTGTTCATATTAAAGACCATGGCTATTAGGGAAGGAAGCCTGAACTTCCATCTGTATTATGGGGAAACACAGGAGGGTTTTAAGCTCGAGAAGGAGATGCTGATATTTAAGCTATAGAAAGAACACGTTGAGGTCTAAGGATGAGGCAGGGACATGAGCAGCCAGACTAGATTGTCCCTACTGAGCTCGATGGTATCACAGTCTTTGATCTCATGGTCTGCCAGGCTGTCATCATCCTTCAGCTCCTCATCCTCCAGCAGTAGTACCTGATCCTCCGTACAAGGGCCTCCGGCATCTTTGATTTTCTCTTTCAGGTCTAAGATCGTATTATCAGGGTTGATGGCAAAAGGCTTGCTCTGGCCATCTGGATACTTCACAAAGACCAGGATCTCAGGAGGGAAGGTCTCCAGCACCCGGATGCTCACCTTAGAGAATATCCCGTAATCCGATAGGGTCTTCCGGCTGCTGAGCAGCCGCCTCTCCCCTCTCGGTTCCTGGAAGGAGATACGCAGTTCCCCGCGGAGATTCAATTCCCTCCTGATCTCTGCCTTCATCTTCCTGATGGGGCTGTAGGGGTTTGTCCAGAGCATCCAGTCTTCTGTTCCCGTTTGCCTCACTGTCACCTGAATGTCCCTCGCTCGCTGTAAGAAAGGGCAAGCGTGTGGTTGTAGAAGACTCACTTAATTTTTTAAAAAACATATTACACTTACTATTTAAATAGCAAGAAACTACACTTTGATGACCCACCAATGGGAAAGGATTGTGAGTAAGTTCTTAGACTCTGTCTCTGAGGTGACTATAGCACAGGGTAGATTGCCTGCCCATCTTACAGAGGGATGAACTGAGACCTGGGTATTTATAGATAGAAACTAGGCTGCCATACCTAAATATGTGGCCTGTGCTGGGACTTCTGGGTGCTGTGGAGGGAGTTGCCCGTGGCCCCAATGAGTGTTAGTGAGAGTTCTGACTAGGAGAGAGTAGAGTACCTGTACATCCCAGCGCCCGCTGGGGTCTGCAGTCACGCAGCAGGCCTGATGCAGGCAGTAAGCAGCTTCTGTGGCCACGATTTCCCACCCGTTTCTGCTCCCTAGGTTGTTGGTGGGGTCAGCTGGGTCTAGGATGATGGGCCTGGGGGAGAAAAATGGCAGTAGATCTTGTTACAGTCAGGATACTGGCCTCTGACACTCATCTCTGTGGAACCAGAAAGCATGTTATAAGGGCAAATTGTGCCGGGCAGTGGTGGCGCACGCCTTTGATCCCAGCAATTGGGAGGCAGAGGCAGGTGGATTTCTGAGTTCGAGGCCAGCCTGGTCTACAGAGTGAGTTCCAGGACAGCCAGGACTACACAGAGAAACCCTGTCTCGAAAAACAAAAAAAACAAAAAACATAAGGGCAGATTGTCATGGGATGTTTAAGGTCCTTAAAAAGCTGGCTCTGGAGGTGGGGTCGTTCCTCCACAACCCCCACCATTTCAGACCCAAACGGGGATCTCAAACTTCCCTTCCAAGATTTGAGTCCGGCTACGTTGTTGCCATGGTTACCATCCTTGTCACTGGCATCTTCGCAGCTCCACCCCTTTCCCCCAAGAGGCTATTGTTTTTTCCCATACTACACTGGGAACAGAAAGCTGGAAGCATGCCGGGTGGTGGCGCACACCTTTAATCCCAGCACTTTGGAGGCAGAGGCAGGCGGATCTCTGAGTTCAAGTGTTCAAGGCTAGCCTGGTCTACAGAGTGAGCTCCAGGATAGCCAGGGCTACACAGAGAAACCCTGTCTCGAAAAAACAAAAAACAACAACAACAACAAAAAAGCTGGAAAGCACAGTCTTGGGTCAGACATTGACCTCTGCAAGGTGTTGTGAGTGGGGGTGGGGGGGGGTAAGGGGGGAGTAAGGGGGATGGAAGCTGCCATTCTCCTGCTGAGGCTGCTCAATTGTGTCTGCTGGGTTTGATGATGTTTTGTTAAGGGCTGCTTCTCTCTGTTGCTGTTCGTTACTTTTCCTTTATTTCTCCCCGGCTGTATACTCCATAATTAACTCCCTCATTTAAAACCGAAGTTGCGGCCAACAGAGGACATTCTTTAGAAGGCCCAGAACGGGTGTGGGGGCGTTGGGGCGTGGTAGGAACCTTTCCGTAGGAGCAACCCCTTCAAGCAAAACCCTTCCGATAGGATTGGAGATAGAGCCTCAGCAAGCTCCCGAGAATGAATCTCTGAGGTTTTTGCTTGACATATGCTTTCTTATACTGGAAATTAGGTGTCTAGAGGAGAAGGCTAGAACCATTGCAACCTTGAAGCGATAAATCTGAACTTAACAGGAAGATCCTGGGTAGGGAAGGGTTGAACCACACAGAGACCTTGGTGACGGCCATACTTGAAGTCTCTTCACCAATGGATGTTTTCAAGTCCAAAGCCTTCTGAGTCCCTTTGTTTTCCCAAGCCATGCCAGTCAGGGATTCTAGTCCTCAGAGCCAGAAATAGCATGGTTGGTAGACTCACCGGTCTGTCTTCAACTGTTTCTTCAGAAAGTTCCTGACGACCTCGTTTTGGAAATCATAGTACTTGGTCCAGTAGATGCAGATGTCTTGGTAGTCCCTGAGGAGCTCCATGACGGCTACAAACCCTTCGATCAGATTGAAGTTCTCACTGCTCTTTGTACCCATTTCCCAGGCATAGATGGTCAGCAGCTCCAGCGCATATTTTGAGGGCAATTGTTCTCTTCTATGTTTATATCTCAGGTACTGGAGAAGTGTGTGTGGTGGGGGAATGGCAGGGAGGATGGAGGGAGGGAGGGAGGAGGGGGGAAGGAAGAGGAAGGAGGGAGGGAGGGAGGGAGGGAGAGAGAGAGAGAGAGAGAGAGAGAGAGAACGAACTTGATGTGATTGATGCTCTAAGAATTTTCAGGTTCCCTTATGAAATGATGGAAGAAAACCAATGGTGGAATGGGTTGTCTCAGCGGGCCCATGCCGAGGCATCTCTTTCCCCTGAGGGACCAGTCACATGACGGTATAGCAGAGAATAGAGTTTATTCAGGGCATGGGGAGGGGAGCTAGGAGGATAGGAGAGGGAGAGAGAGAGAGAGAGAGAGAGAGAGACAGAGAGAGAGAGAGAGAGAGAGAGAGCTCAAGCAGAGAAGTAGAGGCCGGCCATGACCATGTGGAGAGAGGGGAAAGGGAAGGGGGAGGGGCGAGGGGACAGAGAAGCTGGAAGCAAGAGAGCAGGAGAGCAAGACAGAGGAGGGGGCAAGCAGCCCCTTTAATAGTGGGCAGGTCTGCCTGGCTGTTGCCAGGCAACTGTGGGGAGGAGCATACCTGGCTGTTGTCAGGTAACCGTGGAGGTGGAGTTTAGACGGAATACTAACACCTTATTCCTTTCCGTGACACAGCCAGGAAATGGTCCGTCTAGACGGACTGATGGCGTGTGGTTTCCTTGCGGACCATCCGGGTATCAACCCCTGATTTCCAGTTAGAATGGAGAAGGCAATGCCGTATATTTGAAATTCTATACCTGTATACAATGTCTTTTGCTCATATACACCGTCCCCCCACCTCCTCCTCTTCCTCCACCCCCGTCTTCCTCCCCTCCTCTTTTCCTTCTCTTTATATCCCATGGGGTTCATTTGGAGCTGCCCTTATGTGCATGGGTGTAGGGCCATCCTCCAGAGCACGGGGCATCTGTCGGGAGCCACGTCTCTGAGGAAAATCCCTCTCTCAGCAGCCATCGACGGCCAGTAGCTCTCAGCATCTCCAGGAGGCTGGAACGCTAACTGGCTTAATCTTGCGCAGGTCTCCTGGAGCAAGCTGCTGCTGCTGGGGGTCAGGGGCAGTGAGGCCGTCATGTCCATAAGACACTATTTTGTAGCCATCCTCCCCATCACTGGCTCTTAGACTCTTTCTACCTCCTTTCCTACAATGTTTGCCCAGCCTCGTAGATGTGGGTGATGGAGATGGCCCACTGGGGCTGACCACTCCACCGTCACCTGCTCTCTACCACTGAGACGAGTCGTGAGTCTGTGACATCTGCTGTGCACTGGGGAGGGGAAGGGGGTGCTTCTCTGCCGAGAACACAGAGATCCACTAACCTGTGCGTTGAATGTGTGAATCTAGAAGACAGTTTGATGATGCCTTGTTCACTGAGCAAAACAACAGTAGTAGATGCTAGTTAAAAACCCTGGTGATTTTTAGTTTTTAGATGGAGTCTTGATGTGTAGCCCAGGCTAGCCTGAAACATGCAGTTCTTCTGCCTCAGCCGTACTCCCCCCACCCCAGCAGGTGTTGGGAATACAGGTATGTCCACCATGCCTGGCTCCCAGTGGTGCGTGTGTGTGTGTGTGTGTGTGTGTGTGTGTGTGTGTGTGTGAGAGAGAGAGAGAGAGAGAGAGAGAGAGAGAGAGAGAGAGAGAGAGAGAGAGAGATATTGAGAGAGAGAGAAGTGGTTGCTTGGTGTTGATGTAATAGGATAATTTCCTGTTACTGCTGCTACATTGTTTGCAATAAGCTCGGTGGTTGGGAAGGAGCTAATGTGGGAGGAGCTAATGTGGGAGGAGTGAAGAGAGAGAAGGAGAAGAAGAGGAGGAGCTAGGAGAGAGAGGAGAAGAGGTAGCAGCCATGGAGAACTACGGATGGATCAGGAGCAGTCCTGGGTAACAATTTATACCTAAGGTTAGATATTGGGTAACAACTCTAATTGTGTGGGCATCTTAATTGAGCATTTCCAAATATATAAATATTGGATAAGCTTTAAGCTTTAAGAGTCGTATTTCTACCGGGTACCGCGGTCATAGTGGGATGGTCTGGGCTCAGCCAAGCATTGTGGACAGCGTGGTAGATTGGCGTCTCTTGGGTTCCAGGGCCGGTGTTTCTAGGTAGCCGGAGGCGCGGTCCAGAGCCGGAGCCACAGGAAAATGGCGGCTGTCTGGGAACAGCCTGGACTGGGCGCCATTTATTAAAAATTACCCGCAACAACTTGCCACTCAAGTGGGGCCAACCTTGGATGTCAGTCCTCACCTTCTACCTGGAAGTAGCAGTTTTAGGCATGAGAATAAAGACGAGTCAAGAGCTGGGGGTCTGGCTTAGTGGCTGGGTGCTTTTCCAGCCTGCCCAAGGCCCTGGGTTCAATCCCTCAGGACTTAAAAAGAGAACCAAGCCAGTATAACAGAACAGACTGCTCAGGATTAGTTCCCATTAGGTTTGTGGATTTAATAGTTTCAACAAAGCTAATATTTTAGTTCAGTTAGAAAGGATGCATAATTCAAGACGTGATGGACAACTTGTGAGTTATTTGGGAGGAAATAAAGGTGTTGCTAAAGTCACGTCATATACAAGAAAAAGTTAAAGATGGAATTTAGTATATATTAAGCATATTATAAGAAAAATTAGGTGGTTATAAATTCCCTTTCCTCCTGCACACACACACATGCACACACACACTAAGTCCAATTGGAGTTTCCCTTATGAGCATGGATACGGCTTGTTTTCACACTGATATGCACACGTGCATACACACAAAAATTTTTTACCTTCATTTTTATACATTTTTGATGCTGTTTGAAGTTTTTATAATGGGTCCATTGCAATATTTAAATAACCATATATATTTTTTTCTATGGAGAGAGAGAGAGAGAGAGAGAGAGAGAGAGAGAGAGAGAGAGAGAGAGAGAGATGGTTCAGATAAATAAAATCATTAGAGAACCTCAGGAATATTCATGTACAGAAATCTGAGCCAGGGAGGTGGCTCAGTGGGTAAAAGATCCCTAGAAGTCACGTAAATTTTGTGGATGTCATGCTTGCCTATAATCTCAGTATTTCAGTATTTGGGAGGCAGAGTCAGGCACTCCCCAGAGAAAGCTAGCTAGAGAGCCATGTAGACAACTCTACAGTCTAAGGTCAACTCAAAGACCTTGTCCTGGTATAGATGGATGAGATTGAGGAAGACAACCATCCTGAGACCTACACACACACACACATACATACATACACACTATAATTTGCAAAAAAAAGAGAGAGAAATCAGTATGTTCTTTAATTATGTGTATCCATGTGTCTGTGTATGTGCATGTGACTGCAATGCAAATAGAGGCCAGAAGAGGGCGCTGGATCCCTTGGAGCTGGAGTGACAGTGGTTGTGAGCTGCCACAGGTGGGTCCAGTGCAAGAGCAGTGGGTGCTCTTAACTGTTGAGCCATCCCTCCAGTCCACTGATTTCAGAGATGGCCTAGTTAGAGCCAGTAGGTGTCTGGTGGAGCGATGGAAATGTTGGGAAACATTTCCTGATGGGAAGGGCGGTAAATACCTGTAGCTCAGGAGGTCTTACAGTTGATGGGAGAAAAGACAGGAAAGTGTTCGGACAACGGACTGTCTAGGTCAGCTGGTATGAGTGTTTAAAGGGTGGACCAAAACCTCCATGAGAGAGCATGACTCCGGTTACCTAACAGCCGGGTATAGGCTGCGTGAATACAGACGAAGATAAAACATAAAAGAAAAGCCACTGCACCGTGACGTATTTATCCGGGGATCGTGTACGAATCTCTCCTCCTTCCTTAGTCATTTTTTGACTTTTTTTTTTTTTTAATGAGCCCTTTGCAATTGACAGATAACTAGAAAGAAATACTAAACTGAAGAAGCATTTCCTGGGACTGCTTACGAGCACAGGTTCTAGAATCAGGCACCCTTGTTCAATTCTCAGCTCTACCTGTTACCTGTCATCCTCAGTTTTCTCATCTTCAGGATGATGGCGGGGATACATGCCATTCGAAATAGCCGGAGAGCTGGAGGGAGGATGGGATAGGGGGTTTCCGGAGGGGAAACCGGGAAAGGGGATAACATTCGAAATGTAAATAAATAAAATGTCCGCCGGGCGGTGGAGGCGCACGCCTTTAATCCCAGCACTTGGGAGGCAGAGGCAGGCGGATTTCTGAGTTCGAGGCCAGCCTGGTCTACAGAGTGAGTTCCAGGACAGCCAGGGCTACACAGAGAAACCCTGTCTCGAAAAACCAAAAACCAACCATACCAAAAAAAAAAAAGAAAGCTCAAAAAAAAGGAAGGAAGGAAGAAAGAAAGAAAGAAAGAAAGAATGAGCCTGAAAGACTAAATGGAGAGGTCGTTCCTGTAGCGTGTACAGCCTTGATCACATGACCTAATTAGATTGTAACATTGGCGGCTTTATTATTGTTATCAAAATGCCACACATCTGAGGCTTGTCGAAGGCCTGTCTGTTCTCATCTGAGTGAGCACCTAATCGCCCTTGGGGAAGCACTTGGCTCTAAGCAAGGCGCAAACACTCTCACCCAGCAGGGATGCTGGTCCAGTGCAGGGCAAGCCGCTCACTGTTTATCCTGCCTCTCACTCACTTCTTGTATCCCCATTCCATCTCTCTTGCTGTTGCGGAGGACTGAACCCAGGGCCTTAAGCACCCCAAGCAAGCATCTTGCCAACAAGCCACACCCCTCAGCCCTAGTTTTCGCTAAGGCCTCTGGAATGTGCGCGCGCACCCTGTCCTCCGCCTCCTCTCAGCTCTTACCTGTAGGTACCAGAACTTCACCAACCGTAGGAGGTTCTTCAGTTTAACAGGACGGCTTTTCACAAAATGTCTCTGTAACTCTGTGAAGCTCGGCGAGAAGTCGCCAGGGTAGCCCTTACTTCTTATCAGAGTTTCATAGATTTCTGGTGCTGGTTTCTCGTCTTTCGAGTCTCTGGAGATAGGTCCTGAGAAGAGAAGCTTATCTGGTCAAGAAACTACCTTTTGAGATGGGAAAGATAGGAAATCTCCCTCCACTCCTTCATGCTTTTTCATCTGCCCCTTCCTTCCTTCCTTCCTTCCTTCCTTCCTTCCTTCCTTCCTTCCT